TAAAATATAAAATCAAAAGTACTATTTATTATTATATATTTACATTATTAAATATTAAACCGAAAATAGTAAAAATAAATACAATAAAAATGTAAATGAAGGAAAATTATAGATGCGCTATGTGAGAATGAATGCTTGAAACAATTCTTGGAAACCTTCACAATAACAAACTCGTTAGTAATATAAGAGGGATAAAAACGAAACCAAATGAAATTGCAACAATTAGAACATGTATTAGTAATCACAAGATATAAAATCGAAATGAAATTGTATGATGCACATGAACAATTCAAGAACCAAACAAATGATTACTTAATGTACCCAACAAAAATCACCATGGAATTTAATGTTCTAAACATATTTAAACTCTAGTAAACGCAACGATGAACATGGTCATCAATTCACAAGTGAGACCAAAAATCAAGGACTCATTCTATAATTCAATTCAATTCCAATACATGAAAAATCAAGCTTAAGTCAAGCATTATTCATACAAATCAAAAGCTGGACAGCAAAAAAATTATGCATAAAAAGCTCATGAAAATCAATTTCCAATGGATTCCAACCTTATGTATAAACACCGACATCAACCAACGAACTTTGTGAATTGAATTCAACTTGAAATATCATCAAAACCACTTTTAAAATGACTCAAACAATAAGACAACATCAACACCAACAATTCAATATTAATCAACTCATGTCATATTCACATTAAGTTCAAAAGTGATTAAAAATAAGTTTTGAATCAAAGTTTCAACAAGATATAAATCCAGACAGCAACTCAACAACATGTCAGTGCTCTACAAAATTCAACTCAAACGGGTGTTCAAGGCAAACGGATTCACAACGGCACCATAATTGAATTTACCAACCAAAAATAAATTCAAGTTCAAAGTAAAATGACAAACACACTATGTTACACTTGAGAAATCAATGGTGAAAGAAATTAATCAATAGTACGCATGAATGGAACATTTTATAGAACCACATATCTTGATAATAGTGAAACAAGCATTTTCGACACACCAAAATTTGAACAACAACATTAGCAACAAATCTCTTAACTGGTTCAAAGATATGTGAATCTCATCAATTAACTTCAAATAAAATTTTATTGAAATGCATCGTAGAAAATGATAGCAAAGAGAAACTCAACTCAAGATAACATAAACCAGGCCTTATTGAACCATTCAATATTTTAATTGCAATAGAAATGATTGGATCAATTATGGCAGAAAGAAATAATAACTGAATCATAACCCACACTTAGAAATGTAAATACCAGTCAAAGAAACACAGATTCAGCAGCATAAAATGAATCGAAAGAGATAAGTAGGGAGGTTGATGGAAGGCGTAAGGGAGAAAGAGATTTGGAAATCATTCTTAATTTTCTGGTTTTTTTCCCATTGTTCGATTCACCCACCTCTTGTTTTATAAAAAACTATTAAACCTTATCCAAATATCCGTAGGTATTGTAAAATGACCAAAAGGGTCATCCTTGCTAGATTTTTGTTATAAATATATTTACATATTAAAACCCTATAATTAAATAATAAAACTAAAACATTTGACTATCTAATTAAAACTAAAACAAATTATGTATTTTTTTTTCTAAATGAAATAAAACTTAAAGAGAACTTTTTTATTTATTTTGAGTTAATGATAAAAAAAGAAAACTAAATAATCAAATTTAAAAATTTAACTAAACAAAAATGTATATATGTATGTATACCGATGTAAATTTAAATCAGAAATAAATGTAAAATGCGCGAAAAATGCAAATATGTGAATACAAATTAATTTGGACATAAACAATGCAAATGAGAAAATTTAGGGTAAAGTTTGGGGTGCAACAGTTGCCCCTATTTAAATATTTTCAATTAGATGATATGAAGATGATCGTGCTTCATATAATCTTAGTGGGAGATAGTTAAATATTAAAGAAACTAAAATTTTACCCTGAGATGCAATGGATATGCCGGGAATGAAATGTGACGAGACTGTGATGAATGTACGATTCTTCCTTTTTTTGATATATATACTTTTTTGAATGATGTATGATACGAGACAGACTCTGAGAAATATTAGAAGGACTCGAAACTGGAAATTTGTGGTATTTGAATTAAGTGACGTGGAAAGACACACTTGGGAATACAAGATACTTTGGATATCCTTCAGGGTGACATGGAGTAACCAAAAATATTTGCGAAGAGTGGGATAAACTCTGAAAAGGCAATCAGCGACGTCCTCGATGACCCTTCGATGTTGTCTTCGGTAAACGATCTTAGTCCCGTACGACAAGTTGCTAAAAGCGTCTTACAGGTTGTCTTCTATGACTGTACGATGACTCACGTCTGTCCCTCACATCCAATGATAGGGTTTCCTACTAACTAATGGTAGGATAGCACTATCTAAAGGAAGAGGAAAAGAATAAAGACTTTTTGAGTAGTTAGATTGCTCGTAATCGCTTGCTCATAAACTAAAACAATTTCCACACCTCACATTTTCAAAACACTCATAAAGAAAATATTTTGTATACATTCTCAACGATACGAGAATCATTACAAAATTTCCTTACATTGGCATTTTCGAAACTTCTTTCCAAACACTTCCTTTCAATCAAAATTTTCAAAGTAAACATTTTGTATACATTCTCAACGATACGAGAATCATTATAAAATTATCACACTTAAGAGTTTTCCAAAATATTTTCAAACATACACAAACACAAATAATTTCAAAAAGTGATCAAGCGATTAAGAGCCCGTAGATAACTACGGATGAAAAGGTTGCTAACACCTTGCCTTTTCATAACCTACCCCCCAAACTCAAGAAAAATTCTCAAAAGGACTTTCCTATTCTTTTCACCCTTTCCTTTATTGGATAAAAGAAAAGTCAATGGCGACTCTTGCTATCCGCAATATTTGCAATAAAATACAAAACCCTCAAGCCAGTTCTCCCACTGTATTACACAAGGTACATAAACTGAAAATACAAAAGAGTAGGATAACAACAAGGACATCTCCGACAAGTTAAGCCATCTTACCCTTGCCAAGATCATGCCTTGAACTACCTGAAAATGATAATTGGACTAGGGTGAAATTACTAAAAGGGTCATCCTTGCTAGATTTTTGTTATAAAAATATTTACATATTAAAACTCTATAATTAAATGATAAAACTAAAACATTTGACTATCTAATTAAAACTAAAACAAATTATGTATTTTTTTTTTCTAAATGAAATAAAACTTAAAGAGAACTTTTTTTTATTTTGAGTTAATGATAAAAAAAGAAAACTAAATAATCAAATTTTAAATTTTAACTAAACAAAAATGTATATATGTATGTATACAGATGCAAATTTAAATCAGAAATAAATGCAAAATGCACGAAAAATGCAAATATGTGAATAAAAATTAATTTGGACATAAACAATGCAAATGAGAAAACTTAGGATAAATTTTGGGGTGCAACACAAGGTACATAAACTAAAAATACAGAAGAGTAGGATAACGCCAAGGACATCATCGACAAGCTAAGCCATATTACCCTTGCCTCAGTGAGTCTCCATATCTTAAGGGTTCGCTCAGTACTATAGGGTGCATGCATTAGAACGAAATCACCGTGAATCTGGGGTTTTCCTCATGGCTGGGTACAAATACATAACAGCGGTACACCATCATTGGAAGTCCCATGACTATCCAATGAGGCAGCAAGAAAACATATATGGCACAACGGCCACAAACAATCAGCACAAGGCCCGACACAACTGCCACAAATAATATGCAGACTCGTACCCGTGTACGAGGTATCCAAAAGTATGTTCTACCTGCTCAATAGACTACACATTTGCACCCTCGATGAGTCACCCTGTGCATCACATCAAGAGACTTGTACCAGCACACGGCATGATGAAACAAATCATTCCTAATTGAAATTACATCTGCAACGAGTTAAACTCCAAGGTGACATTTCCTACATGGTGTCTCATCCCCGCCTATCATCACTCCTGCACGTGTGAGCCTATATTCGACACAAGTCCAACATTAGGTACAAAAACATCGTCTTGACAACACGAGCCCATCAGGCGAAATCCTAGTGGCATTGCCTATGTGGCACCACTAGAGGTGAGTTAAAACCAAGGATTGAATACATAAATTTTCCTCCCCGCGATACCACGCACGCCGATGTGATCTCCACAAGCGGGGAAACACCCCAAAGGACCCCCAACTGCACATCATAATGGTAGCTCAGGTGTGTCTGACATACCCATATCACATAGCAAGGTATCCCAGATCACATAGCAAGGCACAGACTAAAGATCACACAGAATTAGTTGTGGTCATAAGTGATTTAATATCTATTAGCAGGCCTACTTTGATTCAAGCATATGTCATGCAATCAAGCGCATCAAGCCACACAGGAAAAATACAACTGAACATTCAACCGGAACAACGGGCAAACACAAATGTTCACATCATTTTATGCATCACATAATACATTATAGTAGCAACATAAATTAAGCACACATAGCATTCATGAACACTTAAAGAGCATACAAGTGGTCCTATTATGATCCCTTCATGGACTCTAAACAATAAGTAAAGGCATTAAGTTAATCCATAACCATGTAGAGGATCGAACAAGCTTCACAATGCCTCAAGCAGGGCTTTATTTCGAGTTTCCAAACTCAAGTTATGCAAATTTTAGTGTTAGAAAAATTCGCTATCCAGGGTAGTTCGCTAAGCGAGCTGTAGCAAACCAAGTCAGTAGCTTATCTTTGTCCTGAAAGGGAAGGTTCACTAAGCGAACCTGTAGCAAAGCCCCGACTCACTAAGCAAAGTCGTAGCAAGTAATTCCTTCTTTTATTTCCTCTAGTCCCAGACTGTTGCTAAGCGAACTCTGTAGCGAACGCTACTTTTCTAAGTGAACTGTGTTTCGCTAAGTGAACTGTGTTTTGCTAAGCGAACTTTGTTGCGCAGGGAAAAACCAAAAAATGCAGATTTTGATCTTGGGTCTCCAAAACCCAAAACTTCCACATGCAATCCAGTATGATCAATATATAGAACGAAATAAAGGTGAATATACATTCTATTATGATATTAGGGTCAAAATCATGCATAATCAAGAAGTAGAAGCACATATCTCTCAACCCTTATTTCCATATAAACCCTAAAACCCCAAGTTTCTATTCTAGAGACTCACCTTAGAATTTGATGATGAAGAAGCTACAAATCAGAACAAGTAGGATGATGAACTAAGGGATATGGTATGATCTTGGGACATGAAAGGTTGAATAAGGCTTGAGCAACCTTCTCCTCCTCATCTTCTTCTCACGTTTCTCTTCCTCTCTTCTACTCCAATTCTGTTTTGCTTGATACAATGCCAAATGATATTCACACCAAACAACCCCTTATGTTTTCTTTTAATTGGAAAAAGACCAATTTATCCCCCAACTATATTGCTATGACTAAGATACCCCTTGTTCACTTCCAACTAAACAATAATTTTCTCATAATCTTATATTAATCGTATTTAAAGATGAAATGGGATATTACATTCGCCCCCCTTAATTTAGAATTCGTCCTCGAATTCAAAAACTTACCAGAATAGGTGAGGATACAGTTCTCACATCTCTGATTCAAGCTCCCAAGTAGCTCCCTCCGGGAGAGACTCTTCCGATAACACCTTCACGAGCAGTATCTCCTTATTCCCCAAGGACTTACTAGCATGCTCCAAAATATGAATGGGTTGCAGCTGATAGGAAATATCTCGTTCTATCTCAACGACATATGGAAGAATATGGTGAAATGAATCTGGCACGAACTTCCGAAGCTGGGACACATGAAATACATTATGTAGCCCAAATAGTGAAGGAGGCAATGCTAACTAGTATGCAACCTCACCTACCCGGCCCATGATCTGATAAGGTCCCACGTATCTTGGGCTAAGATTATGTGTCTTAAATGGTCCTTTCAATCTTAGCCTTGGAGTAACTTTCAATAATACATGATCACCTTCACCAAATTGCACAGGTCTTCTCCTCTTATCCGCATAACTTTTCTGACGATCTTCTGCTTTCTTCATCTTTTCTTGGATCTTTTTAATCTTCTCAATTGTTTCTTGAATTATCTCTAGTCCAATAATTCCTTTTTCACTAACTTCCGACCAACACAAAGGCGATCAACACTTCCATCCATACAAGGCTTCATATGGTGTCATACCAATACTCGAGTGATAACTATTGTTGTACGCAAATTCAATCAAAGGCAAATGATCTTTCCAATTTCCCCCACTTCCAAGAATGCAAGCTCTCAACATTTCCTCGATTGTTTGGATAGTTCTCTCTATTTTCCCATCAGTCTGAGGGTGGTTTCAAGTACTCAAATTTAACTCTGTTTCCATTTCACGATGAAACACCCTCCAAAATTGTGAATTAAACTTCGGGTCTCTATCTGATACTATGTTAGACGGCACTACATGAAATTTAACAATTTCAGCTATAAAGATTCTTGCCAAGTGAGGAACCTTGCGAGTTGTCCTAACTAGCAAGAAATGAGCGAACTTCGTCAACTGGTCCAAAAATACCCTTATAGAATCATGTCCACTCAAGGCGCGCGGTAATCTCATAATGAAATCCATGGATATGTTGTCCCATTTCCATATAGGAACATCCAATGGTTGTAGCATACCATTGAGCCTTTGGTGTTCTATCTTTACTTGTTGACAAATTGCACACCGTGCCACATAGTTTGCAACGTCTACTTTCATGCCAGGCCACTAAAAATGTTTCTTCAGATCTTGGTACATCTTGGTCGATCCTGGGTGAATGGTGAACTTGCTCTTGTGAGCTTCATCCAGAATCATTCTCTTTAACACCGCATCATCGTGTACACACACCCTTTGTCTAAACATAATGAATCCATTAGATGCTCGAAAGAAATCCGGAAGAATTTCCTTAGATTGTAATTCCATATCGTTATATTGCGCATGGCGGATTCTTCCCCGTAAAATATTACGAGCAATCTACCTACTCAACAAGTCTTTGTTCTTTTCCTCCTCCTTTAGATATTGCTTATCTATCATTAGTTGGTAGGAAGCCATATTATTGAATGTGAGGGGCATGCGTGGGTCATCGTACAGTCATAGAAAGAAACTTGTAAAATGTTTTAGCAATTTATCGTAAGGGACTAAGATCGTTTATTTAAAGGCAACATTGAAGGGTCATCGAGGGACTACGATCTTTTAATCGAGGGTCTTTGCTAAAACATTCCACGTTTGAGGGACATTACCGTTTTTATCTGAGGCAACAAGTGTGGGTTACCCTAGAGGTGTATGGGTGGAAAGTGTTTTGATTTCAAATATATTGTCTTTGGATTTGGGTTTTGCTAGAGTTGATTTTAAGTCTTGTCATATAAACCCTAATTACTAACAATAATAAGGAAAGCGATAAATTGCGAAATTTAAATATCCTACGCTATTACAATGCTTTGGGAGTAGGGAGTACCATTTTTTGAATGAGGGAAGGAAAGCAATAAAGCCTAATTATCTATTACAAACCTTTGAATATGAATTACAATAATAATGCACAAAATGTAAAGATGAAAAAAAATATTTTTAGGGTTTTTTGATGGAAAGGTTTAATATTTTAACCTAATTAAACTAATTAAATTTAAATACAAAAGAAGTTGATTAATTATTAACAAAACCTAAAATATAAGCTAATTGAATTTAAGAAGAAAATAAAACCTAAGTCTAAATAATTTACCTAAGTCTAAATAATTTGTTTAGAAAATAATTTGAATGTTAATGTTAATTTGAAAAGAAAATACTTTTATAATGTAAAAGAGAGTAATAAAATTTAATTTGGAAAAAATGAAATGAAAATGTTTAAATTAAAATATTTTTAATTTAATTATTTAAGAAAATATTTTTTTGGTATTTTTGGTTAAATAAGAATAAATAAAAATAAAGAGTATAAAAAATTGGGCTTGAGGTGTTAAAAAGTAAAAAGGGGGAGTGTTAAAGATAGAAAATAGGCTCAGATAGGTTTTTTTTGTGTTGGAATCAGAAAATAAAATAAAAAGTGAATGGACATGTGTTGTTATGAGCAATTATGAGGGTGTATGAAAGCAAGAACAAAAAGGAATGAGGCCCAAGTTCTGGGAGGCCTAGCATTTTATTTGATTCAGTGTTGCTGATTTCTTGAGGTGCATCATGGGCTACACATGTGGAACGTTTGATCTTTATTGCTTGCACATCTGATGGTGGTGGCATGAAGTCCATGGTAGGCGCGCATAACTTGTATGTATGAAATCTGAAATAAGAAAAATGTGAACAAGCAAAAGGGTATCACTGGGGCTCGAACCCAGGTCCCTATACACTAATGCCTTACGCGCGCTTTCTCTACCACTGGGGTGCCTGTTTCATCCGTGTATAAAAAAACTTGCAATAAACTTAAACTAAACTTGTTTCTGAACTTGAAAATGCCTTCATCTTCAACCTTGCGCGCGCCAGAACAAAGACACCATTTTTTATTTTTGGAACTTCCTCATTTCTCAACCAAATCAGAAAATATAAACATGAAACTTGCTTGAAATTTCATCACGAATCCAACCATATAAGTAACTAAAGCTAATTCTCAAAGATAAACATGAATTTCTATTGGTACCAAATAAAACCTAATTTTTTCATAAAGTTTAACTTCAAAATTCGCATCACTCAGCCAACATAAATGAAAACTAAAGGCATGGTTAGCTTTAGGGCAATGATGTCAATATTTTTCATTCACAAAGTAGTCATTAAATATGCTTGTAGAGAGAGTTCAAAGTTGAGAAAATTTATCTCAAAACTATAAATCGTGTATGGAGTTTGAGCACTTCTGGAGGTGTTGTAATGATCTGGATAACTTCACTGAGCTCCTAGGAAGCTAATGCAACTCTTACTTTGTGCTGAAAGTGCTTGAATCGTGCTGGAGAAGTCAAGTTGCAGGTTTGAATATTTGAAAATGGAGGATGGTGCAAATGGTTCTACAGTTCTAAAACAGGGATGGGGATGAGTTATATATGAGGTATGGAAGCTTTGTGATTGATTAAAAGTGAAAACGCACGAGTGGATTGTGAGATTGGTGTTCAAAGTCAGAATGTGCAACAATGGAAGTTTGAAATGCAAATTGTGATTTTAGAGTGTTTAAGGGTGTTTCAAGGCTTGTTAACTCGTCCATTGGCTTGCAAATGACTCCTCTATTTATAGATAAAATATTGTAGAGGCTCTAGTGATCAGAAATCAAAGATCACATGTTATGGTTATGTGACTTGATTTTGAAGCAACTTTGACAAACATTGTTCCAATGCAATGGTACAAGGGCTTGTAGGGTGGATAGAGGCTTTAAACATGTTGCTTCTAAGTATACATGTTAATTGTGATCAGAACAAACAAGTTAGAGACTCAAGACAAGTTGACTTTGTGATAAAGCTTACTTTTCAAGAATGGTAATGGTGCCTTTCTTCCAAAAATGGAAAATTGCTTTGGATAATAGCTTAATCACTTGGATCATACCTCAATCAATTTTGTAAACAATTAATTATGGAGTGATTTGCAAGTTAGAAGTCTGCAAAGCAATATTTATACAGCAGTGCTTGAGATTTGATCAAGTGTTCTTCATGAAAATGCCTTGTAATTCAAGAATGAATGCTCAACTTCTTTTCTTCGAAACTCCTAGCTCAAGCATGATCTCTTCAAGTTCTTTGATATTTTGAAAATATTGAAACATTGTCTACAACCTTCATGTTGACCACTTTGGCTAAATCAACTTAGAACTTGGTGGAAAATTGCCAAGAAGTTGGGACAAAAAATCTGCCTAACTTGATGGAAATTTCACTAAGTGTTTATACAAAAATGACATAACTTCATGAGCTTCTATCTTCAAATCTAAGCATTTTTTGGACATCATCCTAAGGGACTAAGTTGTATAATTCATCAATATCTATCTTTAATTTTGAAAGTTTTCCTTGAATCATCTTGCATCTTGGTGAAAAATTGTCATGAAGTAGTGAAATTGTCAAGGTTAAAAAACACTTAAAAATTTTCGTATTGAAAACTTTGACTTTTTGTGGACTTTCTTGACTTTATTGATTCTTGATGGTCAAGTTTTATATTTTTTAATATCTTGATGAATCTTGATCTTTGAAATTCAATGTTGACCAAAAAAGTCAAAGTTTGACTTTTTGTGTATCAGTTGATTTTTCATCAATTTACCCAAATTTCAACTATTAATCCTTTGATCTTGAGAAATGATTTGAGCCATGAGATAAGGTCAAGATGTTGTGTTTGAATCCTTGAAACCATGCTTCAAACCATTATGTCATGTACTAGGTCAAACGTCAATGATCAGTCATTCTCAATCAAAACTCTAATTTTGACAATTTTGCCCCTTGGATGATTTGAATGTTTTTCTTGAGGAATTATGATCAACCTTGATAAATTAATAAATATGACTTCAAAATGTTGATATTGGTCAAAAATCATGAAGTTTGACTGTATGTTGACCACAATTGACTTTTTATCCACTACAGTTGATTTTCAATCATCTGAGCGATTGACTGAGCAAACTTGTGATGCAAGACTTGAAATTTGACATGAAGATTCCTTCAAACATATGAGAAACCATGAAATCTACTTGAGGCATTAGAAGTCTAATTTTATTTAAGAAACACAAAACCCTAGTTGTAGGTCAACTGCTCAAGAGGAGGATTTGCCTGATCAATCCTTGAATAGTCTTGAGCAATTGAGAATCCTAGGAGCATGTCTTGAATAATGGGAGGGTAAATTTTGAGATACAACAATCCTAATTGTTATAGTTTGCTTGTATAAATACCCTCTGTAATATATTGTACAAAATTAATGAAATTTTCTCTATTCGCCCTCAACTACTCTCTCTCTCTCACTCTAATTCTCTTGTTTTCCCACTTTATCTTCTCCACAAGCACAAACATCCATTGGCCAAATTGAATGTTCTAACACTTTTGTCAAATTATAAAAAATACATAAAATGAAATTAGTGTCTATTTCTGTCCAATTATGAAAAACAATAAAATTAGAGTTCTATTTCGCTTCACTCGACTTCATTCCATCATGTTTCATTATGCTTCGTTGCGTTCTAGTCTATTAATTCAAAGAGTAGAATGAAACAAGATAAAATTCACTCCATCATATTCTTCCAATCTTTTTAATTTTCATTTTATCAAACTTGAAATATAAGCAATAGAATAAATTATTTATTCCGTTCTATTCCGTCAAATTATAAAAAATCCATTACTCAAATATAACCTTAAAGTGATTTTTTTCATCAATAAAAAAAAACTGGCTTATATGATTTCAAAACAATTGTTTTAGTTGATCAATTTACATAAGTTAATTTTTATATAAAAAATAGTTTTCTTAAACATTTTTATGATATATTAATATATTCACTTTTATTATAAATCTAAAAATTAAAGATATTAAATTAAAAATGATACAAATATTATTAATTAAAGGATATCATTAATAATATTGTTTTAAAAATTAAAATGATCAATCATTTTGGCTCTCTTCTTCACACTGGCATTAACTACACTACTACTTGTTTCGTCTTGGAGCCATTCTCCATATTTCTCATCATTTCTTGTTTCAACACATGAAGATGAACCCCCATCATCGACTGCATTTCCATTACAAACCTTTGCTTCATATGGTTCTCATGTAAGCACAATAAACTTTTTCATTTATCAACTTTTTTTCCTTTAATAACTATACTACACTTTCTCTCATCTTTATTCATTTTCTTGATGGTGGGTTTTCTATTCTTTAGTATGATGAAAAGCATGTTACAAACTTTAAGCATAAAGTTTCAAATAAAGAGAACCTTAAAGATCATAAATACAGCAATTTGGAAAGAATTGAATCAAAATTGGCTAAAGCAAGATATTCCATCAAAGAAGCTAGCAAAGTTCAAAATTCGACATCAATCCACCAAGATCAAGAATATGTTCCTCATGGCCCGAGTTACAGAAACGCCTATGCTTGTTTTTGATTGACAGTGTAAAAATTTTACGCCGAACTCCAAGAATGTATCTTTGTCATTGTTTAAAAGGATAATTTTAAATTTAATTTCTTTTTTAATAAGAATAATGGGATAGTAGTACTAATAAATGGTTGAGAATTAATACTTGTCTTTCTTACTTTCTTATTTTCTTACTAAGTATTTTCCATATAATTTTGATACAGGAGTTACCTAGAGATGGAAAAGGTGTTCAAGATTTTTGTGTACGAGGAAGGAGAGCCATCAATGTTTCACCATGATCTAAGAAAAGACATACTCAACCGAAGGAATGTTCATAAACGAAATGGAAAAGGGAAGATACTACAGAACAAATGATCCAAATGAAGCTTTTGTGTATTTTCTACCTTTCAGTGTGGTTATGATGATCGAAGATCTCTCTACATGCGAGGCACCTATGATCGAACTCCGTTTGGTCTTTGTGTAAAAGACTATATACAGATTATATCTCATAAATATCCATTCTGGAATCAATCTCAAGGCCATGATCATTTCATGATCTCTTGCCATGACTGGGGACCGGGTGTATCTTGTTCAACAAGTCAATAAGGGTACTCTGCAATGCTAAGACATCAGAAGGTTTCAAACCAGAAAAAGATGTACCATTCCCTGAAATGAATCTCAAGACAGGACATCTCACAAATCTAGTAGTAAAAGGGTACCCTCTATCTCAGGAAAATCCTTGCTTTCTTTGCAGGTCATTTGCATGGTAACATAAGATACTTACTACTCAGTACATGGAAGAACAAAGACGAAAACGTTCAAGTTTACGATGAAGATTCTTATCACACAAAGCTTAGAAGCAGCAGGTTTTGTTTGTGTCCTAGCGGTTACGAGGTGGCTAGTCCGAGAATCGTGGAAGCTATATTTGCCGAATGTGTGCCTGTGTTGATTTCGGATAGCTATGTTCCGCCTTTTAGTGATTTTTTGAATTGGAAATCGTTTTCGGTTCACATAGATGTGAAGGAAATACCTAATATTAAGAAGATACTCATGGGAATTTCAAAGAGACAGTACTTGAAGATGCAGAGAAGAGTAAAACAGGTGCAAAAGCATTTTGTTCCTAACGAGCCACCTAAGAGATTTGATATTTTTCATATGACCATTCATTCTATTTCACTTGGAAGGTTGAACATCCGTATTCATGATGATGATCAGTGATGTTAAATCCTCAAGACACTGACACGACACTGACACTTGTAATTACGTTCAATGTTCAATGTATTCATTTTCTAAGTACTTTTTCTCATTGTGATTCAAATAATACACATTCGCGCAAACACACATATATAGAAAACAGACATGGATTCTAGAATGTAATCAGAAGATTACTGTTCTCAAACATGGCGATTTAGAATGTAATGAGACTAACATTGTTCTCATAGTCGGCGTCCATCATGATACACATACAAAATCACTAGAGTCGTAATAATAATATACACAAATAGGTGACTTCTAGTTTACACAACAGATAAAATAAAGGTGTCTTCTAAAAAAATTATTTCAGCAAACATGCAAGGATTTGAGTGCTTAACTGATATGGAATTCTCCACTTGCATGAACCTCTTTGACCCTCTTATCGTACTCATCTTCTTCGACTTCCTCTTCCTCCAATTCTGCTTCCAAATCTTCTGCTTCCAAATCTTCTTCACCTTCCCAGCCAAAACCTTTGATGGGCCTAGATATTGGAGGCGGGTTTCTTGCCTCTCCCACGATTTTCATCACATCATCCACGCTTTGTAAGTGAAAGCTTGGATTTTCCCTCTGGTAGTACATAGCTTGAGCTGATTCTGTTAGCTCCCTTGGAAGATTCTTTAAAAACCATGGGTGGCTCTTGATTTCCCTAATATTAATTCGCTGTAAACAATAAAGAATATAGTCTAGGAGTTAGATTGTCATAACAAGCCTTGATGTTCCAAATAACGTCGTTAGTTATATTTTCAAGAGCTTCTTCTCTGACAAAAAACACATTTAAACTCAAACAGAGATATGCATGTTTGTGAAAAATGTAGTAGAATCGCTGGATTTTTTGAGATTTCATGGGATTTGTATATGATGTACAACTAAATATGCATATAATTTGCTAAAAAAATTTATTCAAATTGTATAAACCTGTACATAATGACCCGACACTTGCATGATATTGCTAAAAAAGTTAATATGGAAAGGAAGAGAAAAGAAGACCAAATTCACGTTCTCGTAGACATATATGATACATGGAAACATTCCAATTTTATATATCTATCTATCTATGTAGCACCAACACTTCAAATTGAAAGCAGGTCCAATACTTGGTTGAGGAATAGAGGCTATATTGGCACTTTGGTCTTATATGGCTATATCTAGGCGGAATTTAAATGACCTATTGTTCTGTGATGTGCAATTTTTTTCCTTGAATTTTCTGTGATGTGTGATTGAATACAAAGTGTTGTCAAATAGCGGTGCTACAGCACTATAGGTATCAGAATTTGAACAACTGTTATTTTCAGCAATTGGCAGCACTCGTCCAGTTTCGACACTAATGTGACCCCAACACATGTGAGGTGGGTGTGTTGGCCTTGTAGAAAGAAGACCCGAGGACTTTTTAGCAAGAAGAGTAGATCAGATGGAGGGTAGTCAAACAACTAGAGGTAAGAGACGGCCTAGAAAACCATAAGAGAAACTATTAAAAAAGATCTTAAGGCTAACGAGTTGGATAGAAACATGGTTTTTGATAGAACATTGTGACGTAGTTTTCTCCATGTAGCCAACTCTACTTAGTGGGATAAAGCTTGGACGGTGTTGCTGGCTTGCCCGTGTCTGTTTCAATGCTTCATAGTTATCTATCCACAGAAGAGGAATTGACCAGATGGTTCGCCAGGGTTGACATGTATATTATATATACATGCATATTTATACAACTAACATGGAAGAGTCATGGCATTCATGATCTGGAATGCAAGAAAGTCTAATCGCTTTGCAAACAATACCGAAAAAGTCTAGATGATTAAGCAACATAACATACCCTCAATGGATTTGCAACAAATATCCGAGAGATAAGGTGTCTGCAATCTTGAGATATGTGAACATAATCAGGAATTCTGTATTGAATGGCCATTATACGCTGTAGAATAGGACAGGAAGCATGGATAAGAATGATAAGAAAAGAACATATGAAACATTACGAAAATCAACAAGTATTTAAAGGAAGGAAACACACCTGAATTGTTTTCCTAAAATTTTTAGGGTCATCCTGGTCCTCAAACGGATATGCTCCGACCAGCATTACATAAAGAGTCACCCCACATGACCATACATCAGCCATCTAAAACAATGTTTGTAACAGAAAAACAGCATAGAGTTATCAATACTATCCTCAACAATGTTAATAAGCCAATCCCATGTGAGGCAAATCTATTACCTTTCCATCATACTCCCTCCTAGAAAGAACCTCTGGTGCTATATACGCCGGTGTTCCAACCGTTGATTTGGGACGTGAATGGAGCAAAGATGACTGCATTGCAAGTAAGAAACACTCTAACAACTACAACAAGTCTATAACTATAACATAAACACTATTATTTAGAACTTTTAAGCATGATGATACTAATTCCAATACCTTGGAATAACCGAAGTCACAAATTTTTAAGCGAGGTGCAGGACTTCCATCTAAAAGGGTATTCTCTAGCTTCAGATCTCTATGGCATATTTGCTGTAAAAAGAATATTAAAAGCGTAAGCTCTCACAACAAGTATCTGAAAGTTCAATAATTTACCTCAAACTTGAGCACGAATCTACCATGGTATGACAGAAATGGACACCTGAGATCAGCTGCTGAAAGAAATACCTGGCCTGAACAATCAAACAATCAAAAGCAAAGCAAGGAAGTTAAATAATGGAGAAAGTGAAAATTCTGAAAGAAAGAAACACGTAAAGGAATTAATTAACCTCATCTTCGCTGAACCTTCCAGCATTACATATCCTCTCAAAAAGCTCTCCTCCAGCTGCATACTCCATAACTATTGCTAAATGTGTTGGAGTCAAAATCACCTGAAAAATCAAAATCAAAATCCTATTGAAACATGATCTCATATAATTCACCATGAGTAGTGAATTGAATCCTACCTCCTTGAATCGAATTATATTGGGATGCCGAAGAGACCTATGATTCATGATCTCCCTGGCCACGTTCTCATCAATCTGAAATTGAAAACATAAGAAAATATTTTTTTTTTAAAAAGAAGAAACCTTTCATTTATTAATCAAAAACAAAACAGTAACTAAATTGAATCCTTTGATCAATTCTGGTTCAAGAGCTAAATTATGAGTTCTAAACTAAAATCACTAAATTATTAAAGGGTTATGATAAATTAAAACAAAAATTGAAAGGAAAGAAAAATTAATAATAAATCATGAAATTAAAAATAAAATAAAAATAACAAATGAAAAAGAAAAAGACATGAACCTTGGAACCACGCTCGATGTATTTCATGGCGACAAGTTCCTTTGTAACTTTGTTTCTCATAAGCCTAGCAACCCCAAAATTGCCAGAACCCAAATCCTTAACCGCCTCGTACTTATCCATAATTAAAATAAATAAATAAAAACACCCAAAAACTCAGAAACCTAAGAAATTGAAAAAAATGGAATCGAATTGAATCAGATAACCATGGTATTGGATAATGCAATTGGATGAAAAGGGTATCGAAAAAAGGTCGCTTTAACGTTAACAGAGGCTTGTTTCGCAATTTGAGGAAGGTAGAAAGACAGGGAAAAGGGAAGGAAGGAGAGAGTGGGGACAGGAAAAAGCGTTGTTTGGATCGGAAGAAAACAAGTGGAGAGAAAAAAGAAGAAAAAAAAAAGAGGGTATGGTGATGATGAATGGAATGAATAATGGAATGGTTATATTTGTCGGCTACGTGTGTTTTTTTTTATGGTTAAGAGGTTTTTTTTTATGGTTAAGAGGTTTTTGAAAACACTGTGTTTGTGTGGATTATTGAAGTGACAGTGTTGATAGTTATTGGATTTTGAAGAATTGTTATTAGATAATGAAAATAGTTTATCTAATCACATTACATCATTATTTTTTAGATTAATTTCTAAATGATCTTATGATTGTGAACAAGTCCCATAACAACGCAAGTTAAGAAAGATAAATTTACGTTGAAGCCCAAAAAGAAGAAAAAAAACTACACAAGAAATTAACTTAGAATAAGACACTCCAAAATTATCATCCATAACAAGCTAAAATAATTAGGTGTGTTAAAGAAAAATTATCCTTTTGATATAAGATTTTTTATACAATTTATTATATTGAATGTATTACTAAAATTCAAATTCTGATTGTAAGAATTTAATGATTATTGTATTTCGTAATGGATAAATAAGTAAAATCTATATATATTTCAGCCAAATTTATTACTTTAATAATTTAAGTTAATTCTCGTGATTTTTGTTAAAAACGAATAAAGTAATAAATAAATTATAAAATTAATTTTATTTGACATCTATAATTAAACTTTTTTATGAATATGAAATGGACTAGAAACAAGTTGGATATGATAGGAAATTACATTATTCATTTATTTTATAGAATAAAAAAATATGACATTTTATTAATTAATAATTAATTTATAAAAAATATTATATTAAAAATAAAATAAAATTATCTTTCTAAGATGGTAATTCAAAAAATTAATATTGTCTCTTTTGTGAACAGGTGGGAATAAAATAACAAGAAAATTTCATATTGCTTGGAAACAAGTGTGTGCTCCAAAAGCTCAAGAAGGTATGAATCTAATTTGATTAGAATAGATAAAGAAAGCAAACATGATGAAATTGTTTTGAAATTTAAGTAGCAATGCTAATAGTTTGTGGATTAAGTGGATACATGGTTACTATATTAAAAATGAGCAATTGATGAGAATGCAGATTAAAACCGATTGCTCTTGGATACTTAAGGCAATTCTCAAGCAAAGGGATGTGGCCCAACAGGTGCAAGGCTGGAACAATATGCAGCTTCTTATAAGTTTGACACTGAGAAAGTGTATCTGTCCCTGAAAGAGATGTACCAAAATGTGCATTGTGCAAAGATTTTCTGCAGCAACATGACACGATCAAAAGCTTTGTTTGTGCTCAAGTTAGCATGTCATGATAGGTTAGCAACGAAATAAAGACTTCATATATTTGGTATGATTGACAAGATATATATTACTTCTGTTTACGGTTTGAAATTATCTGTGATACGCTAGTAGAACTGACTGTTTAATACTGATTTTTGTATTTTTGTATTCGCAAATATTGCGGTAAGTAAGAGTCGTCACCGACTTTTCTTTTATTCAAATTAAGGAAAGAATGAAAAGAATAGAAAAAAAAAAATCGAGATTTTCTGAGTAAAGTGGTAGATTATGGAAAGGAAAGGTGTTAGCACCCTTTTCATCCCTAGTTTTCTACAGACTCTTAGAGATTTGTTCATTTTGAAATACATTTGTGCTTTGTGTATTTGAAAGTTTATTTTGAAAATGTCTTGGTATGGCAGACTTTGTAATGTTTCTCGGGAATATGGAGAAAGTATACAAAGTGTCTTGAAAATGTTTTTGAAAAATAGTTTTTTGTGTAAGTGCAAAATGTTTTTAAGCAAACTTCTAACAGCTATCTACTTTTATACTCGAAAATGGTCGTTCTTTTCCTCCTATCCTTTAGACAGTGTTATTCTACTATTAGTGAGTAGGTAGCCCTATTGTTAGATGTTTGAGGGACATCGAATGGACGTTTACAGTCACGAAGGCAACTTGTGGAGACGCTTTAGTAATTTTCTTTAGGGACTAGATCATTTATCGAAAAGGCAATTGTACGGTCATCGAGGGACTGTGATCTTTTGATTTATGGGTCTTTGATAATGCGTTCCTGCCTCATGACTGTTTTATTTCTTAAAGGCAATCAAAATGGGGTACCTTATAGGTGTATATGTACAAGTGTGTTATGTTCAGTTATTGTCTTTTTGTTAAGTTTGCTAACGTTTTCAGTCTTTTCATACACGCCTAGTTACTAGCAGTTAATATATATACAGGAAAATGTAAAGTGCGAAAAATAAACCCTACGCTATTACATGACTTTGGGGAGAGGGATATTTACAATGTACAAAACTTGAGAGAAGAAAAAATAAGGAAAGCGGTAAAAATCTTAATTTTATCTATTACATACTGTCAGCAGATACAATAATGTAAAAATGCAAAAAATAAATAACGCGCGAAAGACTGAAAGTTCATTAAAAAAAAGACTAATAAGAAAAATCTTTTTTTATTGTTTTTTTTATTTAAGAAAAATAGTCAATTATCCTAAAGTCTATATAATAAAATTAAATTAAGGAAAATAAGTTAATTTCTTTTTTATTTTATTTTTATTATTATGAAAAGAAAATAATTAGTCCTAAATTCTAATTCATTTTTAATTAAGAAAAAGTTTAAAGTTTCAATTAATTAACTAACTAAAGAACTTAATTTTTTTAATTAAGAAATTTAAACCTAATTTTTAGTGAGCTTTTTCTTTTATATTTGGTTAATTAAACAACAGAAAACAATAATAAAAGAAATAATACAAAAAGAAAAATGTCAAATGGGTTTAGGCATACAAAAGAAAAAAGAGGAAGTGAGTCTTTCGATTCAAAGGGGGAAAGATGTGCTTTCGATTCACCCCTTCTTTGGCCTCTTTCGATTGGACTGGGAAGTTGGCGTGAGCAGCCTTCGATTGGACTCTCTTGGCCTCCTTCGATTGTGCTGGGAAGAAGTATGATGATCCTTTGTTTGGACTCTTTTCTTCCTAGTTCGTTTGGACTGTGAAGGGACGTGGACCTACAAAACAATCATGAAGGTGCCTCTTTTGTTTGGGACAGTCAGGCAATGAAGGGCGAAGCCTAAGGCTTTGTTTCACACTAGTCCTTTTCTGTTCATTTGAGTTTGTACAAGGGTTAGTTCTAACATTTATATTTAGACAAGAAAAACACGCAATCGAAAAGGACATGAATAAAAGGTGAATAGATGTTATTTACATGTCATGCTGAAACGAAAGGTACAAGGTCAAAGGGACTTACCTTGCTGAAAAATTGAACTTGTGTATGGACTAGAGTTGCTGGATACTCTTGGATTATTTTTTGATAACTATAGTGGGTTTATGGGCAGCGTATCTCTAATGTGTGTCTTTGGCTTCCAAGCATGATGCTTATATAGAATAGGAGGGAGGGGACAAGAAGACAAAAGCTTAACTGCCATAAACAAAAATTTTCAAGACCATGAATGAAGTTTTGTAATTGTAGCCAAAAACATGAGATCTTGTCCTCTTTTGAAATTTGAGTGAATATGGACAAATTGGCTCCTTCGAATTCCTTCAATCCTTGCCCTTCAATTGGACCTCTTGCATGCTTCTTCGAATGGCTCTGATTCAGCTTCTTTGAATGGCCAGCAATATGCGTCCTTCGAATGCCTTCAATCCTTGTCCTTCGATTGGACCTCTTGCATGCTTCTTCGAATGGCTCTGATTCAGCTTCTTCGAATGGCCAAAAATATGCGTCCTTCGAATACCTTCAATCCTTGCCCTTCGATTGGACCTCTTGCATGCTTCTTCGAATGGCTCTAATTCAGCTTCTTTGAATGGCCAGTAATATGCGTCCTTCGAATGGACTTTTGGAATGCCATAGTGTAGAAATTGGGCTGTCAAAACTTAGCATGAGGGAAGTTCCTACCTTGTGCAGGCAGGCATGTACTAGGTGTTTGCCTTGTAGGTATGAAGAAAATTTCTTCCTTGTACAGGCAAGCATGCAGGCCATTTGTCCAAATGGGCCTGTGTGAAAGAAACCAAAGGTGCTTCAAATGAAGGAGGCCTAGAGATGCTCCAAACGAAAGAAGCTAGAGGTGCTTCAAACGAAGGAGGCCCAGAGATGCTTCAAACGAAGGAAGCCAGAGGTGCTTCAAACGAATGAGGCCCAGAGATGCTCCAAACGAAAGAAGCCTTAGGTGCTTCAAATGAAGGAGGCCCAGAGATGCTCTAGACGAAAGAAGCCAAAGGTGCTTCAAACGAAGGAAGCCAAAAGGAGTTCCCCTTCTTTCTGAATCAAAGGGAACCACTTCAAAGAAAAACAAATCTCAATCATAGACTTGTGGACCAAAGCTTGATCGAAGGGTATTAAATTCCCAATCGAAGACTAGTGAGTCAAGCTTGTATCGAAGGATTTTAAGAGCTCGGACACAACTTGTTGTTATGCCAATCAAAGGACACTATTTAACTGCCAATCGAATGACATTATTGAACTACCAATCGAAAGACACTTTGCTAATATTCAAAAATTTCCTCTTTCTTTAACCAAGTGTTTGTAACCACCATGTAAGGTAAAAATCTTGGGAAAATATGAGAGGGCAAATTTTGGAGTACAATAGCTACCCCTGTCCAACCTTCTTAAACCTGAGGATTTAGATTGGCTTGTCTGCCTTTCGTGATCTGAAGGTGGAAGATGATTGAACACTAGAGTGCCCAGAAATTTGCACTCGTATAAAGTAATACTGATGGTTGATAACGTCGGGAATGGGCTTACAG